AGTAGTTGTTATAGCATTGATTATAATGAAAAAATGGAAACAACTTAAATGTTTAACAAAAGGGGATTAGTTAAATAAATTATTGTGGGATGATGCTCAACTATTAATGATCATGTAGTAGACTGTCTAATGATGTGGGATGTTAGACTGTTTTTAATATAAGTGAAAAAAATCATGACAACAAAGGACATGAGAGATATATTTATGCATAGACAAAAGACTGGAAGAAATCTCTGGTTCTGGCAAAATAGCAGACTAGATAAATATGTATAAAAATCTGCTACAAAATGCATGTTGAAAGGAAGAAAGGCAGATCCTCATTAAAATAAAGTCAGGTGGGGTCAGGGGAGACTGGGGATTGCAACGCGGAAGAGCCGTCTGATGGGACAGCCCCACAGGGCGGTTGCCAGTCTTAGTGAATTACACTTTAGTTTTTACAGAGACAAGACCAGAAGCCTTGGGCCTGTGAGTGTTAGAGCTGAGACACCAGAGAAAGCAGGGCATCTCAAAGCGCTGAAGGAGGAGACAGACTAGAAAAAAATTTGCCGGTGAGCACGCAGAGATGCTTTTTTTTTTTTTCTCATCTCATTGAGAAAGAAATAACCATTGCGAACTCATGACCATCAGTTTCCCTTCATATGGGTTTTGTTCAAACTTACAGTACCCATAGGGCTGGGAGAATCTCCAGACTGAGAATTGACCTACAAAGTGGTCTAAGGTGGAGGATATGACAGAAGTAACTGGAAAACACAAGCTGTTCTAGAGGGATGTAGCCCACCCAGACCACATAGATTTCTCAGAAATAAAAGCACTGCCACAAGTGAACTTAATACAGAATTTTAAGCATGCAAAGAAACAATCTACTATTCCTCTCTAAGTAAGAATCCACTGATAAAACAAACTAAACACATGAAGAGAAGGAATAGAAAACATGAATATAGGTGCCATCATAAAAATAAGGCACTTAAAAAAAAAGCCAGTAGAGCCTCTGCAAATATAAAAACAGTCGCTGGCATTAAAACCCAGTGGGTAGGATAAACGGCAGCTTAGACACTGCAGAAGAATTAATGAAGTAGATCAGGAGTTGCCAAACTGTGGCTTGTGGGGTAAATCTGGGTTGTGGCTTGTTTTTATAGTCTGCATTGTAAGAATGGTTTTTACATTTTTAAAGGGTTGTTTAAACAAAAAAAAACACAAAAGAAAATATTCTACATATACTGTATGTGATCCCCAGAACCTAAAATATTTACTCCCTGGCTATTTACTGAAACATTTCCTGACCTCTAAACTGGATAGATCTTAGGAAATTTCCAGAAGGTAGCACAAAAGACAAAGAGAGAAAATAAGAATGAGGGGTTTAAAGATATGGAAAATGGAAAGAGGAGACATGACTGACATCTAGTCATCTAATAGGAGTTCAAGGAGAGGAGAGTGAGGGACAGGTGATATTTAAAGAGACAGTGGCTGAGAATTGTCTAGATTTGTGAAAAACATGAATGAGGAAGTACTTAAGAACCAAAGTGCAATGAGCACTGAGTGTCTCTGCTCCCCTCCCCCCAACATTCCATATATAGGCAGACACATGTAGAAATCTGAAGATGAAAAGATCTTAATGAAGAGTAAGAATTGTATATCCAGGTAGATTATCATTGAAGATTTACTGATAAAATAAAGAGCTTAGCATCAACAGACTCTCACTGAAGGAACTGCTTCAGGGAAAATGAAACAAGGAGAGGGAAGGAACGAAATGCAAAAGGAGTGGAATTCTGAGTAAGGAAGTTGGCAAATATGTGGGTGAATCTAAACAAGCATGAATTCTCTTAATAATAACAGCTAATAGCAAGAGCATAAGAAAAAGGTGGGGTTAAAATATCAGTCAACAATGACATAAAAGTTAAGAGATAGGTCATACTAGTACTATATATAAATATATACATAGTATATACATAGTATATACATAGTATATATACATAGTATATATTTATATTTATATATATTTATATTTATAAATATAAATGTTTATATTTATATTTATATTTATATATATACTATGTGTTTGGTAGTTGAAGCAATATATATATACATAGTATATATATATTGCTATGTATATATACTATGTATATATACTATGTATAATTACATATATACATATATAATAACCTACTCTGCATCAGATGCTGTGCAGGGTATATTTTATTTACTGTTTCTAATTTTTATAGCAATCTGAACATGAGTGTTATCTTTTTACTGATGAAAAATCTGCATCTCAGAATGGTTAATTGACCACCTAATAGCTTACAGAGCTGGGATTTGATGCCGGCCTGGTTAGCTCTTGGGTCTATACTCTTTCCTGTATATCACATTGTTTCTAGTTTAAAAGACTACATGAGTATAGTATCATGGGGAGAACTGAAAGTTACTGGACAGAAGAGGGAAGCTTTTTTTTTTTTAAGGATTTTATTTATTTTTAGAGAGAGGGGAAGAAAAGGAGAAAGAGAGGGAGAGAAACATCAATGTGCAAGAGATACATCGATTGGTTGCTTCTTGTAAGCCCCCAACTGGGGACCTGGCCCCCAACCCAGGGACATAACCTGATTGGGAATGGAACTGGTGACCTTTGGGTTCATAGGCCAGCACGTAGTCTACTGAGCCACACCAGCCAGGGGGGAAAGAGGAAGCTTTTGCAATCACAAAGTAACCGTGATATGTCTTTGGGGAGGTATCCTTTAGATTTTGGGAATACTGGTCTACTAGGGCCAATCAGAAAGGCTAGGGTTGGAGTAGTAGCTTTGGTAGTTGAAGCCATTTATGCGATTGGATTCATTACCAGATGATGCTGAAAGCCTTGGGAGTACTTTCTCTATGAAATAAGAGGAAGACTGGGTACCAGCAAAGGACAGTGGGAGAGTAAGTCAAGGAAATAGGTTAAACACCAGGAAGTACAGTTTCATGGGAAATCAAGGGAAAAGCTGAGAGCTTGTAGAATGAAGACATGATCAGTGGTATAATCCATTTATTTAATAGGTATTTATAGAGCACTTACAGTGTGGCAGACACTGTGCTTGGACACTGGTGATCCAAGCAGACAAGGTCCTGCACTCCAAGATTAGATTTTGGTGGGGAAGGTAGGTAATAAATAAATAAATGAAAAAATACTATTATACAGAAAGTCAATAGATGACACTAGAAAGTGTCTTTTAGTATATGCAGACCCAGGGAAAAACCATGAGAGTGAAAATCTACCTCTGTAAATGGAGGGCAGCAAAAGAGTGAAAGAGGCTGGCCACTCCAGTGTGGTAATCAATTGAATTTATTAAGGGAAAGTTACATACAGGGCATGTCCTGGGCAGCTGCAAGACACAATGGATCCTTGCGCTACTTGGCGGTGCCAAAAAACTATACAGGTGAAGCGGGGAATGGTTATTGGTACTAGTACATAAGGCTGTGAGGTACAGAAATTACTTCGCCTGCTTGACCAGGTCAGGACAACAGCCTGTTCCAGGAACCAGCACAAAGCAGAAGGTGAGGGAAGGGTGCTGATTTATATGAGAATAGTACCAGTTACCATCAGACAGCCTCTATGTGGGGTTTGTGGAAAGCGGCCTCCGGTCTGGACCAGGTCCAGCTTGTGAGACAGACAGCGGTCTCGTCACACAATAGTATCTCTCCGTAGTGCCGAGGAGGAAGAAAGGCTACTTTAAATGGGAATATTAAGAAAGTTAAGGTCTGAAGGATGAGAGTCAACCAGAGAAGAATCTGGGGAAGAGCATTTGGGGCTAGAAGAACAGTAAGTATAAAGGTTCTGAGGCAGTTAAGAGCTTGGTGTTGTTGAGGAATAGAAAGGAGGCTTGTGTAGCTAAAGTTGAGTGAGCAAGTGGGACAGCGATGGCTATGGAGGTTTGCTGGATGGGTGGTCAGGAGCTGCTTTTGAAGAGCCTGGTAGTACAATGGGACGCCATTGAAGGATTTAAGGAGGGGAGAGTGAGGGTCTAATTCATGTTTTAAGAAGATGATTCTGTGTGTTGAATGTATTGTAGGGGGAGGCTGACAAGTTAGGCATTCAGTGCTGTGGCAGATGACTGAGAATAAGGTATATGTGTTGCATTTGGAGTAAAAATTTCTGGGGATTGTTCCTGTTCATTGTTTCAGTGACATTTATTTCTACATCCTATTACCTTCGCTGTCATTTTCCAAAAAATGGCAAAAGAGATACTGAGGGTGTTCTTTTGTCCTTGAAATAATTTAATTAGCTATTTAGAAAAAAAAAAGTTCATGCTATTGGATGTTAATGACATTTTTGCCTTATTTCAGTAAAAGAGATGGAATCTGATGGGGATAAATTCTTTTGAATCATTGTTGAAATACTGGTTTCCATTAGAACATTTGTTTCTGCTTCTAGCTGTTTATATATAAATTGGTAGCACTAACAATATGAGATTAAGTATAGTCTGTCTCCAAATGACTTTTAAAAAACATTTTGTTTAGACTCTGTAATGTATTTTTGAGCTTTCAGTTGAAAAAATTCAACCGTATGTAAAAGCAGAGAGCATAGTATATAATAAACTCTCATGTATTCCCATTATTTTACTGTCAACAACAGTTCACAACTGATCTTATTTCATCTGTATTTCCAAACACTTCTCACCATCCTCATCCTGTTTATTTTAAAGCCCATTCCAGATAGATCGTTTGCTCTGTAAGTGTCTCAGTATATGCTTCTATATTTTAGTGTTTCGATTTATTCTTAGAGCACATAAATAAATAACCATAGATGTGGATGGTTTGTCTTCGAGAGTGCCAATTTATGCCTGTTATCCCGGTGTGTTTATTCACAGTGCCCCCTTTCACTGAAAAGAGTGTCTCTTTTTCTTTGGACGTTAGTATAGTCACCTTACATACATAAGGAAAGCCTTTTCATAGTGGACAGTAAAGAAATTCTTTAATGGAACATTCAGTATTGAGTATTTTTCTAATAGCATGTCACTTTTGTTTTCTATCAGGACAGCAAGCCCCAGAGTTCACGATTTCAAGAACTATGCTAACATGTAATGCAGCGTGAGTCAGAGAAAGGAAGGGCCCTGCGACGCAGGGTAAGGGGGAGTGACTCCGCTGAGCCGCCTTGATTACGCCTTCCTGTTTTCCTCCACTGCACTCTTCCTTTGTTATGATTGGATCATAAATGCAGAGAATATTCTTTTGAAAACAAAGAGAGATTTTAACATTCGAATTAAAAGGATAGTGCTTTAGAAATATTAACCTACATTCTTTGGGATATATGGTCAGCTATTAATTATCCAAGTTTAGATCATCCAAATATAGCTTTTTTCCATGATTGATATTTTTTGTTTTTTGTTGTCTTTATCTCAGAGCTCTACTTACTTGATACTTTTAGTAATATTGTTATCAGCTTTTAATTTTTATTTAAAAGGAGAGAAAACTATCAAATCTTTAATAGTTATACATCTTCAGCAAAGGTGGAAGCTGGAGAGAGTGATTGAGTGTCTGTGAAGTACACTTCTTTTATACAGCCTTATAGGAGTACCCTTGCTCTTTGTTTGTATCTTATTTCTTAGACTAAAGGAAGTTCCATGAGATCAAGGAGTATTTTACATTTTAGAATGTCCCACAGTTATACTTAGCATGTTTTAAACATGTTAAGAGTATGGTAAATACTTTTTGGAAGAAATCAGTGAATGAAATTGGGAGTAATCTTTGGCACCAAATATTATGAATTCAGTTCTAGACATTTTGAGTTTGAGGTAAAAGTAAATGAAAAGCTTTTGTAGCCTGTGATGGTAAAGTTTGGTAAGAGAACAGGACTCGAAATGTTGTTTCAAGACTTATTAGCCTGATGTACCCTCACATCCTCTCTCCTTTATTTTCATAGCAACACAAGATACTGTTGTTATCTCCAAACACTTATCTCCATTTTGGGAGCTCAGCAAGCTGAGGCATAAGGTCTGTTAGCAAATCTGTCTCCAAAGGATAAGAAATAGTGCCCTTCATTTCTAAGTATAATGTTCTTTCTAGAAGACCAAGTTACTATTTGTATTTTCAGAAGGAGCACGTGATGTCTACTAACAGATGATAAATGAGAAGCAAACTGGGAAATACATTTTGTCTCTGGATTACTGTGTCTACTACTGGGTGAAGCTCAAAGGAGTTTTCAACTCTTTTTATCTCTAAATATAACAAATGGAGCTTCCTAAAGAGTTGGGTTTTTTTTTTGTTTTTTGTTTTAAATAGTTCAATGAGAGACTTTCATATTAAGAATGGACATAGCTACCAAGGCTAGATAAGAAAGTGTTTCTTCTCAACTAAAGATTATGCCTAAGTCTAGAATAATAAACCGTTGCAGGCATCTTGGCCCTCTGTTGGATGTAGGTGACCATCATTTTATAGGGTTCTAATGCTGCTGTAGGTCCAGTTAAATAGGAAGAAGAGTGTGTGTGTGAGTGTGTATGTATGTGTGTATAAAAACTGAAGCTGGTTTTGGATATATCCTTATCTATTTCTTATTAACCATAACTAAAAATATCCATATTAAACAAGACCTACATTGGACTTACAATGTTCTTTGAGACACACACTAACATTCCCTCTTAAAAGATTTAAGCATTTTCTAGAAATGTACTGGGGGAGGGCAGGGTTGTTGAACATAATCTCTTCAAGGCTGACATGGTTCTCTTTCTTTTGCAGGCCTGATTGTTGGCAATGACATCGATAACAGGCTGGCATTTATTTCTGTCATAACCAGCTACTTTATAGCTGTGAAGAGTAACTATGCCTATTTGTTGGTCAGCCAAACCAAGGAACAAGAGCTATGGCCGTTGAAAAAGTCTGTCCGATTCCAGGATATGTTTCCTGGGTTTCATCATCAGGGACCTCCTCCTTTTCATCTCATCAACAATGTGGTACCTTTTACCATTTGACAAAGATTAAGGACATGTTCTCTGGTCAACAGCCAGAACTGAAAATCTGCTGGAATAGGGTCAGAGACCATTTCAATTACAGCTGAGGAAAATGAAATTTCCATTTTATTTGGTGCCTTGTACAGGGAGCACACTCACTCTTATGGAAACCTGTGAGTAAAAAGAGATTGAGTTTTGTCTAACACAAACTCACGGTTATGGCGAGTGACCCAACGTGATCAGAGGGGGCAAGAGCCACAGAGGAACTCATGACAAGCTATACCATGTTGCGGAATGGGGGAGTGGGGAATGGAGGTCAAACCTGGATGTTACGGTGGTCCAACCGTATCCGACTCACGTGGCTCAGTTTTACACTCTTCATCATTCTGGTTTTCTTCCCCCTCATTGCTCACTACTATCTCACCACTCTGGATGAGGCTGATGAGGCCGGCAAGCGGATTTTTGGCCCACGGGCTGGTAACGAGCTGTGTGAGGTAAAGCATGTGCTGGATCTTTGCCGAATCCGTGAATCTGTAAGTGAAGAGCTCTTGCAGCTGGAAGCCAAGAGGCAAGAGCTCAACAGTGAAATTGCCAAGCTGAACCTGAAGATTGAAGCCTGTAAGAAGAGTATTGAGAATGCGAAACAGGACCTCCTTCAACTTAAGAATGTCATTAGCCAGACTGAACATTCTTACAAGGAGCTGATGGCCCAAAATCAGCCCAAACTTTCTCTGCCCATCCGATTGCTCCCAGAGAAGGACGATGCTGGCCTTCCTCCCCCAAAGGTCATACGGGGTTGCCGACTGCACAATTGTTTTGATTATTCTCGCTGCCCTCTCACCTCTGGATTTCCAGTCTATGTTTATGACAGTGACCAGTTTGCCTTTGGCACCTACCTGGATCCGTTGGTCAAGCAGGCTTTTCAGGCTACAGCACGAGCCAGCGTCTATGTTACAGAAAATGCAGACATTGCCTGCCTCTATGTGGTATTAGTGGGAGAGATGCAGGAGCCAGCAGCGTTGCGGCCTGCTGAACTTGAGAAGCAGTTGTATTCTCTACCACACTGGCGGACAGATGGACACAACCATGTCATCATCAACCTGTCACGGAGGTCAGATACGCAGAACTTGCTATATAATGTCAGCACAGGCCGTGCCATGGTGGCCCAGTCCACTTTCTATGCTGCCCAGTACAGACCTGGCTTTGACTTGGTAGTGTCGCCACTAGTCCATGCCATGTCAGAGCCCAACTTCATGGAAATCCCACCACAGGTGCCAGTTAAGCGCAAATATCTCTTCACCTTCCAGGGTGAGAAGATTGAGTCACTGAGATCCAGCCTTCAGGAGGCCCGCTCCTTCGAAGAAGAAATGGAGGGTGACCCCCCAGCCGACTATGATGATCGTATCATTGCCACCCTAAAGGCCGTGCAGGACAGCAAGCTCGATCAGGTCCTGGTAGAATTTACCTGCAAAAACCAGCCTAAACCCAGTCTGCCTACTGAGTGGGCACTGTGTGGGGAGCGGGAAGACCGCTTGGAATTACTGAAGCTTTCCACCTTTGCCCTCATTATCACTCCTGGGGACCCTCACTTGGTTATTTCATCTGGGTGTGCAACACGGCTTTTCGAAGCCCTGGAAGTCGGTGCTGTCCCAGTCGTGCTGGGGGAGCAAGTACAGCTTCCTTACCAGGACATGCTGCAGTGGAATGAGGCAGCCCTGGTGGTGCCCAAGCCACGTGTTACCGAGGTCCACTTCCTGTTACGAAGTCTCTCGGATAGTGACCTACTGGCTATGAGGCGGCAAGGCCGCTTTCTCTGGGAGACTTACTTCTCGACTGCGGACAGTATTTTCAATACTGTGCTGGCTATGATTAGGACTCGCATACAGATCCCAGCTGCTCCCATCCGGGAAGAGGCAGCAGCTGAGATCCCTCATCGGTCAGGCAAGGCGGCTGGAACTGACCCCAACATGGCTGACAATGGGGACCTGGACCTGGGGCCAGTGGAGACTGAGCCTCCATACGCCTCGCCCAAATACCTCCGCAACTTTACCTTGACTGTCACAGACTTTTACCGCAGCTGGAACTCTGCTCCGGGACCTTTCCATCTTTTCCCCCACACACCCTTTGATCCTGTGTTACCCTCTGAGGCCAAATTCTTGGGCTCAGGGACTGGATTTCGGCCAATTGGTGGTGGAGCTGGGGGTTCTGGCAAGGAGTTTCAGGCAGCACTTGGAGGCAATGTTCCACGGGAGCAGTTCACAGTCGTGATGTTGACTTATGAGCGGGAGGAGGTGCTTATGAACTCTTTAGAGAGATTGAATGGCCTCCCCTACCTGAACAAGGTAGTGGTGGTGTGGAATTCTCCCAAGCTACCATCAGAAGACCTTCTGTGGCCTGACATCGGCGTCCCCATCATGGTAACAAAAAAATGAGCAGTGTGTTGTATTGCATGAGATGGTCGTTCACTCTTAATCCTTTTTCTATATGTATATAGGTATATATATACACTTTTTTAACCTATACAGTTTCTTTCCCCATGAAATTTCTGCTTGCTTTCTTTTCTGTCTTTTCTGGCCTTGCCAGTTCTGTCTCTGCTGCTTCCTAAACTTTCTAAGACTCTCCAAAACTAAAATTGATCCTGGCCCCATAAAGCTTTAGGAAACCCGTTCGGGTACCCCCATAGGTTTCTTCTGTGTCATAACAAAGATGATGATGAGATTGAGGATGAAAGGCTAACATTTGAGAAGCATTTATGATCTAGGCACTGTAATTCAGCATTTCTAGAACTTACATCTTTATCTGTTGTGATTTCTTTATATCTATCAAAACTGAGGGATAGAGAGGTTAATTATTTTGCTCAAAGTCATGGTTAGTAATGGAGGAGCTGAGCTTTAGTATGTCCGATTCCAGAAACTGCAGTTTTAATCATATCCCAGAGGATTTAGGAAGAAGACATATGTCATTTACCAGGATATTATGGAAGTCTTTTGGAAGACTGGAGTCAGGGTTTTATATTAGGGCGCTGGAGATCCTGAACCTTTACTGTGGTCGCTTGTAGGTTCTTTCTCATTCTTCACTTTATTTGTCATGGTTAGGATGCTGTATTTTATAGGACAAATATAGCCAAATATGTGGGATAGGGCTTTAGTTCAGAGTGCTTTGTTTATCCACCCTCTGATGTGAATTTGACAACCTATAAGGAGATTACCCATTTCTCTTAAATGTGAGGTCTTAGAGCTAGTCTTAAGCAAACTGCCAGCTACTCACTCTGCAACACAGGTACTTTCCAGGAAAAGGTAGCAAGGAAGGGCAGAAATTCTGATGGGTCATATGTGGTAGGAGTTTGCATAAGAAAATCAGTGCAGTTTTTACAAAGAATTTGTCTGGAAGGGGAATGTTTGGGGCTAGACCAGTTTTTTGAAAATTTATTTCATTGAGGAATTAAATCATGTGAAATGTTGGGTTGGCCAAAAAGATCATTTTTTTTCCTGGCTAAGATGGCTCTAGTAGTGTGTAGCTGTATTTAACTTCATTTGAAAAAATTTTGTTAGATTGTATTTTGACAGTTGTCATCAGTGTGCATTAAAAAAAAATCACAATTGGTGAATTTTTGTGTAGCCATTTTAATATTGATGATGGAAGAAAACACGCAACATTTTTGGCATATTCTTAGTTATTTCAAGAAAGGTGAAACGCAACTGAAGCACAAAAAAAGATTTGTGCAGTGCATGGAGAAGGTGCCAGGACTGATCGAGTGTGTCAGAAGTGGTTTGTGAAGTTTCGTGCTGGCAATTTCTTGCTGGCTGATAAAGCTGTGGTCAGGTAGACCAGTTGAAGTTGATAGCGATCAAATCAATACATTCATTGAGAACAATCAACATTATACCATGTGGGAGATAGCTGACGTACTTAAAGTACCCAAATCAATAAAGTATTGGTGGAAACGAAAAGTTTGTCTTTATGGAAGAAACTAAATGGACTTTTTGGCCAACCCAGTATTTTCTAAGCAGCAGTCTGTTGCAATAGAAAAGTATGGGTTTTGACCAGGGATTAAGTAGTCTTTTGTGATCTTGATAAATTAATTAACTTCTTTGATGTCAGGATTAATGAGGAATGCAAAATAATGCAAGTATGGAATCTAGAAAGATGCCCAATTATTGATTCCTACTTATTCTTTTATGTTGAAAGAGTACGCATATTTTACCTGTCTTATGGACAGCCTTAACTCAACTTCACTATTAAAGCCGCCTTGTAGCCTCTTCATAATTTCCCTTTGTGTCATAGCTGTTACTGCCTACTTCTGTGTGAATCTTTGTTTTAAATTTTCTTTCTTACTGCTGCTGCTACTTGATACTGCTGCTAATCTTTTCTTCTATTTTATTTCATTGAATTTATAATCCAAGGTTATTCAAGACTGTATGGGGTTCTAAAAATATTTGATCCCAGAATTTATCTTGTATATCAAGAAAGGTATTATATATGGGATTTCTTCATAGACTTCTTCCCAAGTAAATTTCACTTTTTTTAACTTTCTCAGTTACAACTTTTTGAATGTCATTGAAATTAAAAAAAAAATGGTTCTGTGAAAGGTAGGTGCTGCTCAAATAGTATAATAAAGCAGCCTTTGTTTTCCATTTTTCCTGAGTTTTCTTTGAATTTGATAGGGATGTAGAGGAGCTGATGCCACCCCAGTTAACAATGACTGAAATTCATCAGGGAACTTACCAGAACTAATCTTTTCTTTTAACTCTGGTGGGAAATAAGTAGTCCTCTCTGATTACTGGGTAGCTCATTGCAATAATACAATGCCTAGTGGGAAATGCTAGAAACTTTCCAAATGGGGGCCGTTCTGGAATAGCTTGCTCATATTAGCAATACAAGCTTTTTCTAATTCTTTGAAAAACAGGAAATGGTTTCAAACTTGAGAATTTCAGTCCATTCTCTAAATATTTTGACTATATTTTCTACTGAAGAGAGGCAGGTTTTTTGGGCAGCAGTTGAATTGCTGACCTCTTGGGCACAGAGCCAGCACTACCCAGGTACAAGGACTGAGAGAGACTGGCAACTCTCTGCCCTGTGGAAAAATGGTGCCATTATGAGACATCTCAGAGTGATTTTTCCTCCTAGGACACAGACGTACCCTATCCATTACATTATAGTTAACTGGTATTTATAAAATTAGCAGCAGGGTGGTTCCCAGGCAGTGTCTCAGATTTCAGTCCTTCGGGGACAATGATTTGAAATGAGCATATTGGCTGAATGAACCAACCACGGAACCCACAGGTCATTTCGGAAAATGCTGGATAATTTGTGCTTCTCTTATACTCAGATTCCCATTTAAGCAATAGGAATAAATGCTAGTTATTTGTTGGCTGGAAATCTATTGAGCCCTAGGTGTTTGGGTAGGAGGAGATTGACTTAGTGGTACCTACTGAAATTTGTATATTATAAGTCCTCATTCTTTACCATTATTTGCATTAAAAAGGGGAAACTACATGGATCTGGCTTGGAGTAAATGTGATATTCACTGGCACCATTCCTGGACACTCCTGCCCCAAATGGTTTATGTAAAGAGAATTTCAGTTCAAATGGGATGGGGCCTGGGCAAGGTGATAGGATTCCACCCAGAGAGGTGGGGGTAGTGCCACCAGTTGAAGTAGATCTCTCATCCAAATGGTGTGGGGCTTCTCTGCAGAGGTGGTAATGGTGGGTGACTGCTCTCTCGCTCTCCCTTGCCTTTTTTGTAAACAGTTGAATCACATTCCTTAGCTCCTGGAGTGTAACAACAAAGACTATCTAATGGAAGTCAAATGGAGAGTAGTATTGTGTCAAGGGATTTGAAGGCTAGCCTTGAAAAAAAAACCTTAATAGCTGGGGGACCACCATATTCATGCATTTTGAAGTTCCACTGTTCCTAGATCACCATTGTTTTTGATGATATGTCAATGAATTTTCAAGTTTTTGTTTCCCTAAGTATAATGTGTTGTTTTTCTCTGGTTGCTTTCAAGACTTTTTTCCCTCTGGTTTTTAGCAGTGTGGGTATGATGTGCCTTGGCATGGTTCTCTTTGATTTTTATTCTGATTGGGGTTCACTAAACTTCTTGAATCTGCCAATTTATGTTTCTCGTCATATTTTGGGAAAATTTTATGTATTATTTATTTAGATTTTTTTCCTGCCCCATTCTTTCCCTCTTCTCCTTTGGAAACTCGATCATATAGACTAGATATTTTGATGTTGTTCCCCAGTTTTCATTGGCTCTGTTCATTTCTTTAAAATATTTTTTTCTCTTTTTCAGTTTTGATAATTTCTGTTAATCCATTATCAAGGGCACTGACTTTTGTGTCCGCTCTTAATCTAGTCAATTAAGCTAGTCCAGTAAGTTTTAAATCAGATACTGTATTTTCCAGTTCCCAGATTTCCATGTTTTTCAAATAATAGTTTGTTTTCCTTCTGAAGATTTCCCGTCTTTTTTTTTTTTCCATTCTGAGTATACTTTACTTCATTGAGCATAGTTAACGATAGCTACTTAAACATTTTTTTCTACTTTAACAACTAATTTCAATATATGGGTTACTTGGAGATTTGTTTGACTTCCTTTTTTCTCGAGGACTGGGTCATCTTTTTCTGGTTCTTTGTACATCAAACAGCTTTATATGAACCCATATACATTGTGAATATTATGTTGTGAAGACTTTGGATTTTGTTTTATTTCTCTGAAAAGTGTTGATATTTTAATTTTAGTAGACAATTAATTTAGATGTCAGTTGCTCTGCTTATAAACAGCACCAAGCCTGCACAGTTAAGGTGACCAGAGGCTGGGTACTTTTTTACACAGTTGCAGCTCCTTCTGTCTGGTGCTCTCCTTTCTGTAACCTACTTTCTTCCAAGGCCTGTGGTTGCCCCAAACTCCTCCTGCTTATTAATCTGTAGACTAGAAAGAGTTGCCCTGCGTGGTGACAACTCTGGCCTACTCTTAGGATAAAAATAATAGTGATTCTCCCCATGTCGGTCATTTCTGCCTAACTTTCAGCTCCCCTCTATGTAATTTGCCACCTCTTTCACTGTTAGTACCTTCTGGTAATTATTTTCTGGTATTTTTCCCAGAGTTTGTAGTTGGCATCTGTAGGAGGATTGGGTCTGGTAGGAGCTTATCTCCTGTTGAGTCATGGGGCAATAGTCCCATCCAGGATTTTGCTTCGAGTTATTACTTCATTCTGACCAGTTAATATGTCTTCCACCTCTGCTTGGTACTCTGGAAAATAGTAATAAATAGAGTGGCCTTGTGGAAATGAGAACATCAAAATCTGTCCTCTTAGAGTTTTAAAACTTTGGATGGATGAAAGGAACATCTTTCAGTTACTAACAGTGTAGTCCTGCTCACTCAAAACATTGCTCTCCTTCACACTGTATACGTAT